AATCACAAAGCTTCGTGAAGATTTAGCACTGAGTGACAGCCTTAGTGAGGCTTATTCACCTCCAGGGAGATCCAAGACTACAATTAGTACCATAAGTATCATTGTCAATTATAGACAATTGGGTTGTTTGTAAATCTCTATCAGCTTTTACTGTCTGTTTAGATGAGATTAATCACAGTTTTTTATATATAGATACACTGTTAGGAAATCAGAAGCAGAACAATTGAACTTTATAATTATTTTATTGGAACTTAAGATTTAATATACACATAACATTGTGATTTATGATCAAAGTAACCATGATGGAGTTATGGTTCTTGTATAACAGTTAGACGTCTTAATTCAACAATGAGATATGTCACTTAATTTTTTTAGTACTTTAGGGCTAAAAATTGTTTGTCTGTTGTGATTAACCTATACTACTTTAAATTACCATGTAGGTACAACATCATCTTACTATTTATGTAGTTTACATTTCATGAAACAAACAAAGTTAAAAGAAAATGGATTCATTTTAACAACAGGTTCTACATTGCTCATCTGGTATATATTAATATTTAACATCATCAATATTGAAAGTTGTTTGAAGATAATAAAAAAATCAGATCCATGTGATCTTGAACAGGGTTCATTTCTTTTCCAAAACTTTTATCAAAGTCATCTTTAAAACCAGTCAGCAAGATCGGAGGCCTTTTAAATGGGAGGATTTGAAACTTCTTAATGAACCTTGTCCCTGCGATAGCATGATTTTGTGTCAAATTTGACCTCTGTAACCTTGAATATGGGTCAAAATCAATTGTTTTCGTAAGCCATATCCGACCAGGCTTCGTCCTAGCGACTTAATGTTTCCTGTGACCTTGAACCTAGGTAAAGGTCATTTTGTTTTGTAAGTTTTGTCAGGTCTTACTAAAAACCTGTTGGCTAAATGTGATTCTTGGTCTTTGTTTAGTCATCAGAATTTGATCAGTTGTTTAAACAAATTAGACCCCTGTTAAACCTAGCATATGGTTCAAGGTCATTTCTTTATACAAACTTTGTCAGGATTTATCCCAAGAACCCATTAGGCAAATATCATCATTCTGTTTTTTTGTTTATCAGAAGTTGTTTGGATGTTTCAACAAATTTGGCCTCTATGACCTTTAAAATGAGTCAATTTTATATTTTTCACAAACTCTTTTGAGCTTCATCCCAACCAACCAAATATCATGAAACTAGGCCTTTTGTTTAATGAGAAGAAATTGTTTAAGATATTTGAATCCTGTGATCTTAAATACAGGTCACACTCATTTCTTATTGCAAACTTTCAAATTGTGACAAAGCTTTTAGTTATTGAGAATTCTTATAAAGAGTAAAAAGTTGATGCCAGATAGAAGCTACATCACTGCATTAGTCCACCTAACCCTTTTAGGGCAGGCAAGCTAACTATCTATATATTTTCATTTTTTTGTTTCATTTAAATTCTGTCAAAAAAACACAAAAATACTTCAATGAAAACTGATCAATAGAAACAGAGTCAAATCACATGTATATATAACAATTTTTCTTTCTTTTTTATATTTTCATACCTATGATTTTCGTTTTTATACTGCAATACTTCAAAACTTTTTTCCAAAAGTTTTACTGAAGAAAAAATGCAAAAACAAGATTTTTAAGAAGCCATATTTAATGGAGCACATGTTCAATTCTAATTATGGTATATGGGTGGAAAAACTACTCATTGATAGTTCTGTCTTGATACTGCAAGTTTCTGTTAAGAAAAATTGATAACAAGGCTTTTTTTTCAGGATGATGGTCATCTTTAATGTGTCATTAGTCGGTATTTTACCAACTACATATAAGGATAATGCTCAACCGCCCATAATGGAGGTCCTATCTTTGCATAGTTATCCTCATTAATTAAAACAAAGTAGCAATAACTACATGCGGTACTAGCAGAGTTAAAACTCTCATACAAACTTCATCTTCATTTCACACTCTCCATCAAACAAGTATATAAATACTGCGAGTGCAACATTTTAATCTTATGATTTCACACAAATTTACACCTACTGGCTGAGGTAGATATACATGTAAAATGGAGGATGACGTTAAAGAATGCAGACCCCACTACCCTCCTATTTATAGAAAATTGGGGAAAACCAGATGAGAGACCATGGACATAAATTGGGGATATGAAGCTTCCGCCTGGAGACAGTGGACTAAAAATACACGAAAATGTTCTTATTCGGGTATGTAAAGTCGAAATGTGAAAATATACATGAATTGGAGTATCAGAAATTTAGTGGGTGAAAAGACATTTGAGAGAAATTGAATTATTCTTTATTTCAGAAATCACCCGACTCATTTGAGACTGATCAGGAAATATATTATAGAAGTTTCAAAGAAAATTGAAAAGAGCAGATTTAAGGACGAGAATGAACCTTGGGTTGGAGTCCTAATAAAAACCCTTGAGACTTACCAGATATACAGATTTACTTGACAAGAGGTGTTTATATTGTATGTGGTTTCACTGTGACGTTTCATACTTCATACATGTATCATGGTGTTGAGAACATACATGTATCTAATAAAAAAAAAAAGTCTCTCCTATCGCTTCAATGTTTACTGGACCATGAGATCTAAATATTTTTAAAATTGAACTCCATTTTGATGACCTTCATTTAGTTATCTCTACTGGTCACTAGAGACCGGTGTCATATTATATTTGTATCCCTATTATAAAAGTACCCAGATACTACTGTAGTAGGCTATAACACCTTGGGTAGGTAATTACTTACCTGTACAGGAATCAGATATTATCATAAAATTTAAAGGTTACAATAATATACACTTCAATTCAATTTTATTCCGTAAGAATTTTACAAATGGCAAATAACATACATTCAACAGTTGAGCTTATTTCATCATCATAAACTTATTGAAAACATAAGTTTTACAAATGATATTACACAATATGCATTCAAAAACAGTTGTGCATATATCATTATAGTCAACTCATGTATATAGCAACAACAACAAATACAGTGTTATTAACATAACAAGAAATGACTACAGTATAATCTTATAATTTACACACTTACTATTTCATATAGTTATGAGCTACCATAATTATTATATCAATTATGGTCATACTTTATTGGCCTCAAATATATATCTAGCTAGTTTACGAAGATCGTTTACACTATCGACACTAAGCAACTGTAAAAGTTTATACATGGAAGGAATTCACCAATAAAATAACTTTATATATTTCATTCTTAAATTTCAGTAATTCCTTCATATCAAAATAAAATCATATTCACCTTCGATGTCTAAATTACAACTCGGACAAAGTCTTTGCTCTCTCGGTATATTACTACATCTGCCAGTTTCAATGGCCAAATTATGCATGGAAAGGTAAAGTTTTGATAAACAAATCTGATATTTTATAGGAATAAACTTCGTCAAACAATATCGTTGAGTAAAATTATAAGTTTTAACCAATATTTTATCATTCTATACTTCTTTATGCATTCTAATGGATATCTACCTAATTCAAAATAAACTATTGCATTACATGTCAACCTCTTAACTTTTAAAATCTTCTTACAAAATAAAAACAAGAAATGAACCTTTTTCTTTATCAATAACCTTTGAAGATCCCCAAACTTCACATGCATAATGCAATATACTACAAACATATGTATCAAATAAATGTAATAAGGTTTTGCAATTTAGACTTAAGTTAAAAGAATTTGAAAAAAGTGCAAACATAGCTTTACGTCCCTGGCCCCACTTGTATAAAACATCTCAACTTGAGATTTCCTCAAGTCGAGATTTTCCTCTGCTGATATCTCCTCAAAAACGGCTTGTATAAAATTTTCTCAAGGAACAGGAGGAAGTCATCGGCTAGGATGTCCTGAAATTCCTTGAGGAATTTTCATACAAGATATTTTCAAGGAGATATTAGCTGAGGAAAATCTGGGCTTGATGAAATCTGAAATTGAGATATTTTATACAAGTGGGGCCTGATCTGATAACTGTTGTTGTATCTGATGGAATTTATTATTGTATTTAAGTTTCACTCCCAGATAGGAAAAAAACGTCAACAACTTCCACTTTCTTGCTGTTATAAATCTGTGATTCTCCATCATGTTTACGACCTCCATTTCCAATTCAGGGCTCTCGATCTGCCAGATTTGGGACCGATATTCGGCCCAATTCCCAATGCCAAATAGTATCTTTTTTTCCCAATTTAGACCACTAGTTTTCCCAATTCTAAGGAAAACACCATTATTGTTTCCCAGTTCAAAGGGCCCCGGCCCCCAGTCCCAAAATGGTGTGTGAGAGCCCTGCAATTACAACAATTTTTTGTTTTCTCTGTATTAAATGTCGATTTCCTTGCTGTGGAATAATTATGAAGACTATTTGGGAAACTCTGCAAACCTTCAACGGTTTTGGAAAACATTACAAAGTCATCAGCATACATTAAAAGAAATAAACTTTATTCACCAAGAAAGTTTTCAGTTGCTCCATTTCAATAAATGAAATTTCTAAATCATTAACAAATGTGAAAACAATTTCGGTGATAATATTTCCCCTTGCGTTAATCCTATACTGTTCTTGAAATAATTAGAACATTTACCTTTAATTGAGACACAACATCAAACTGATTTAAGTGATTTAACGACCGATAACATTTTCCCTCGAATACCAAGCTTTGTCAGCTTGCACCATAAGCCCATTCTATCATCAAAATCAAACACTTTACGAAAGTCTACGAAACGACAGCATTAACACTTTGAAGGCAAAGTTTTCGTTATTACAGAGTGTAATGCAAAAATAGCATCAATCATACTAACTTCGGGGCGAAACCCAAATTGTTCATCAGTTAAAATGACATGCTTCATGCATACACCTAAAAGCCTCTCTTGAATTCATCCATATGGAAGCCTTGAATCCTTACAGTCTTATAAAGTGTAACTAAAGGCAGTTTACTGATAACAATTATAAACGTCTTTGCTCAACATAAATTCACAGGAATCAGTCCTTGGCTCATTAAAATACAAAACAGAAAGAAAAAAAAAATAGTCACTCTGTATCATAAATTTCATATCTAATGCCACATGTAGTAGAAAGCACCAGGCTTTATAGAATGTGTTCAAAAACAAGAGGCACACAGGGCCTGTATCACTCACCTGGATCAGAAAGCCCAGCAATGTCATACAAGCCTCTAGATTGGATATTTCAAATATTTCCAAATTAAAGCTCAGTGCCAATTCTAACACCATGATTGTGTTTATCTCTTGATACCTGTCATTGCTGTATATTGTTAAATATATACCTCCCCTAGATACTTTTGTGATGACCATCATATATGTATACCCTATATATATATATATACATGTATGATAATTTTAGATACAAAATGATAATCCTTATAGAGAAGATTGGTTCAGCACTGTCTTTATGTACAGTGTGATAGACTGAAACACAGGTAAATTTACCTGTACCCAGCAGGTCTACTCACTGGCAGGTGTGGTCCCTGCTCTCCTGTTATGCAATACATGTACTACTTGACCATGGTCAATTAACTAATTACCTACTTAAGTCACCATGGCATCTGTACAGCTACTTATAACTAGTTTTGTAGTTGTCTTCCTCCAATTAACCTTGTATGATGTTAATGAAAAAAGATGTTGAGGGAAAATAAAATATTTTAGAAGGGGGGGGATACTTTTATGATGGTCAGAAAAAGTATCCAGATACTTTTATGAATGGGGATACAGATATAGTAAAATTTACAGCTTATATATCTGGTGAAAACTAAAAAATATAATTAATGACATCTATATAAATTAAACAATATGTGAAGATCCACCTGAATAACATCTTACATGCATGCATGTATATAATAAAGACTAATTTAAAAGAGGACTTTTTTTAAAGATTAAAATAAAATGTTTCTTCACAAAGGTTCACTTAATTCTTATTAAACTAAACACATATGAATACATCATTGTGATAGACCACACATATCTAGACTTGCATTCCAAAGGCGTTCACATGCTGCGTCATCCCTCGCCAACTTGTTTTCACCACAAACAACACTCCTAGAGAAGTATTTTCCTGATATTGACATAACACCCTCATCTACTGCCAGGAATATACTGGTTTGAGCGCCACCTCTATTGTCTAAACACAAGTACCTGTTGTTCAAAAAGAAGGAATATTTGAAAGCTTTGACATATGATATGATGAAACCTGCATAAAAGAATTCCATTCAGAGTATTATTCAAACATAATATACACAGTTAGAGGTTCATCATAAATGATAGCTATAATCTTATATTAAAACATTTGTATAGATCTTGAATTATTTATACCGAGAAAAGATTTTCACCTCCATCTTGTCACAGAGGAATCAATCTCCTTGCTCTTACCTTAGTACAAATTTCCATAAGAAAAACACAAGACATGACCATTTTGATTTCATGGGAACCCAGATCTCTGAGTTGATAACACCTGGATGGAGAGAGTTAGCTGTCACACCAGTACCTATAAATATATCAGTCAGGAAATTAGGTCAAATACAATATTGTTCGAACAGTGAAATCAAGATACAAAGCAATCAAAGTCAAGGTATTGTGTCAAATACAATATCGTTTTGAAGTGAAAGTAAGATATAATAAAATACATTATTATATATTCAAAATAAGCCCTGGCAACAACACAGATTCCCACTCATTCAAAATAAGCCCTGGCAACAACACAGACTCACACTCATTCAAAATAAGCCCTGGCAACAACACAGATTCACACTCATTCAAAATAAGCCCTGGCAACAACACAGACTCACACTCATTCAAAATAAGCCCTGGCAACAACACAGACTCACACTCATTCAAAATAAGCCCTGGCAACAACACACACTCATTCAAAATAAGCCCTGGCAACAACACACACTCACACTCATTCAAAATAAGCCCTATAATCAACACAGATTCCCACTCATTCAAAATAAGTCCTATAGTCAACACAGATTCCCACTCATTCAAAATAAGTCCTATAGTCAACACAGATTCCCACTCATTCAAAATAAGTCCTATAGTCAACACAGATTCCCACTCATTCAAAATAAGTCCTATAGTCAACACAGATTCATGCTCATTCAAAATAAGTCCTATAGTCAACACAGATTCCCACTCATTCAAAATAAGTCCTATAGTCAACACAGATTCCCACTCATTCAAAATAAGTCCTATAGTCAACACAGATTCCCACTCATTCAAAATAAGTCCTATAGTCAACACAGATTCCCACTCATTCAAAATAAGTCCTATAGTCAACACAGATTCCCACTCATTCAAAATAAGTCCTATAGTCAACACAGATTCATGCTCATTCAAAATAAGTCCTATAGTCAACACAGATTCCCACTCATTCAAAATAAGTCCTATAGTCAACACAGATTCCCACTCATTCAAAATAAGTCCTATAGTCAACACAGATTCCCACTCATTCAAAATAAGCCCTATAGTCAACACAGATTCATGCTCATTCAAAACTAATCGCTAAATCAGCTAAAGTTTTCACCTCACTTACATAACCTGCTTTACAGCATATATTTAATGGTACACCATTAACAAAAAACAAATCCAATTTACCAGCCAATCTTTTTGCCAATTCTCGGGCATGCATGATGTTAGCCAGCTTACTACATCTGTATTGACACAAGTTAGGGTACCGCATTCCCTCCCTGTTGGGCCCAGCATCAAAGTTGAGAGGTGTCCAATGCATTTTATGCATGAAAGAGCTGACATTTATAATGCGTGCTGAGGAAGATATCTTCAGCAGATCCAACAGTAGGTAGGTTAGTAGAAAATGACCTACATAATTGGTTCCAAAAATGAGGTCAAACCTCTGACTAGTTAAAGACAGCCCATTTTCTGACTCGGAAGCAATTCCTGGAATCAAAATAACATAAAAAATCTGTTAGAATATCAGTGAGATGTGACCTGAATTTTTGGTGATTTTATTGAGACAAGGTGATTATTATTATCAATATATGTCCTGTACAAATAATTTAACTTAGAGACCCTTCTACCATACAAGCATTGTAATGAATTCATTGGTACAACAAAATGTTTATATTTACATCTTTTCAACCATGGCCATGAAAAATAGTGCAATGTTAAGGTTTGTCAAACAACCATCTGATTATAAGGAAATAACATTAATCATATGATAATAAGTATATAGTACCAAGAGGAATCTATATATGAAATCTGAGAATTATCCATCCAGAATGTCTCAAGAAATGGTAATTAACTTTCATAATCAAAAACCAAGATGGCTGCATGTCATCTATTTCATTCTTACTGTCAGTTCCAAATTCAAACGGGCACAGCAGCAAGTTTAATTAATCAAGGGGAAACTTTGAAAAATTTAAGATCCATTCAGTTGTTCTCAAGAACAAGAGGCCCAATGGGCTTGCATCGCTCACCTGTTTGTTAACTGACATTAAGGTTTGTAAGGTTTGACCCCTGTGACCTTGAAAGTGGATCTAGGTCATTCGTTTGAACAAACATGGTAGCACTTCATCCTAGCATGCCACAGGGCCAATATCAGTACTCTGGGCCTTTCAGTTAATGGGAAGAAGTAGTAAGAAGATTTTCATACATTTGGCCCATGTAACCTTGAAAGTGGGTCAATGTCATTTATTTGAACTAATATGGAAGCCCTTTATCCAGAAAGCTACAGGCCAAATATCAGTAGTCTAGGCCTTGTGGTTATTAAGAAGAAGTTCTTACAAGATTTTAACACCTTTAACCCCTATGACCTTGGAAGTGGGTCATGGTCATTCATTTGAACAATCTTGGTAGTCACTTTTTCCAGTATGCTAATGGCCCAATATCCATAGCCATTGACCTTTCCCTTAATGAGAAGAAGTCGTTTGAAGATTTGTAAACACCTCTGACCCGAGACCTCGGAAGTGGGTCAAGATCAGTCATTTGAAAATACTTGGTAGCCCTTCATCCCAGCATGCTGCAGACCTAATATCAATACCCTCTGTCTTTCTGTTATTGAGAAGAGGTCATTTGAAGTGAAAAGTTGACACCAGACCAACATCAAAAAGATGGAAGAAGGACGACTGATGGATGCCAGATGCCAAACAACGACATAAGCTCATTTGGCCCTTCAGGCGAGTTGAGCTAAAAAGGGTAACAAAAACTGTTGACAGACGGATAGACAATGGACCACAGACCTTGGACATAGGGCGATTTGAAGAGCCCACAATCATTAGATGGTGGGCTAAAAATACGAAAAATGAAATAAAGATCCAGTCAGCATTTCTTTAGAAATAGCGATAACAAATGATACCTGATAAAAATCAAAATGGTCGCTGTCAGCCATTTTTTATCAACGGAACCTACATCTGAAATTTCAAAATTACCCATCTTGTACTTCTCCAGCTACCGCATGAATGTCGATAACCAAGAAGGCCAACAAAACTAGGGACCAAAAGCAAACCTATTAATGAAATTCAAGGATAATTTATCACAGAGAAATAGTGATAAAAATTCTGAATGGCACCTTGTCTGATGATGTGGGCCGAAAATGTGTTTATCCAACACCTTTTAAAGCAAACATTTTGTCTTGTTGATATTTGGATGATACACAATGTTTTCTAGATGTTAAATTATATATATATGTAAGTTGCATACCAGCATTATTGATAAGGATATCTAGTCTTGGTTCTGATCCATTTATATGCTCTGCAAATTTTCGAACAGAAGTTAGATCAGACAGATCTAAATACTGATAATCCACATTGTAGTTTCCTGTTTGATCTGTAAATAAAGAAAAGAAATGTATATATTTTTCCATGAAAAAAAAAGGCATGATCAAGATTATGTGGATCATCGTAAAATAAATTTCCATCACCGGAATGACTTCATTTCCATAACTGATAATAGTGATAACAAAACACACATCAATCTACATATGCATTTGAAGCTCTGAAGGTTTTAAACATAAGTGTACAAATTAGTTTATTAAGATTTTTTTCTGATACTCACTGTTACACAAAAAAAAATAATGAAACCACATTCTTATTGCTTATATTAGCATGTATCAACTCTTGATGACTTTCTTTTCAAATGTTGTCTTTTCCTCCCTAGAATATTTTGAAGAATTTCTTTATTTTGTTTTTTGATACATGTCCCCTTTCATTGATTTCGTAGGAAATTAAATGAAATTCAGCTGTAGTCTCAACTATTATTTTATCAATGTTTCTATAAAATCAAAATAATTACCTTTGATTTCTTGTGCAGCTAGTTTAGCCTTGTTAAGGTTTCGACAGGCGAGTATAACCCGAGCACCCCTCCTGGCCAAATCGAGTGCTGTCTCCTTCCCTATACCCGCATTTCCACCTGCAGTAATAATGACAAAAATTATCAGGTTTTGTTTAATACTGTTTAAAGTCAATATTTTTTTGAAAGTGTATTTCACAACCTGTATAAAAGTTCAACAAGATTAAAAGGCAAAAATATCCCGATTCCAGCAAACTATACTACATAAATTATTTTGTTTTTGTTTTTACAGAACACTTTTTAAGCATAAAGCTGCATGTCAGGAATACATGTTCAACTTATTTTAAGGTATGTATTTATATCAATGTAGATCTCAGCTGTATTACATTAGCAAGGATTAAGAAAACAGGTTATCTTAGTAGCCTCTGTTAGTGGGAATTTCCCTTAAGTCAAGTAGCAGAGTGTTAGGCTAAACACTGATCATGAAGGGTTACTTGTTTGAACCCAAGAGGGGATATGCAGGTTATTTTTCATTACTTCTTCGTGTCACCAATTTGGAGTTGCAAGTCACTGCAAGATCAGAGGCTTGAAGAGATCCAGATCTTTACTTGAAGATACTGAACATGGGTAATTGTTGCCGTCTCGTTCAAAGACTTTGTTAAGCAATGAGTAGTGTAGAAGCAAATGGTACAGAACAAGTTGTATTGGCTAGTGTGAATGTCCCTTCAGTCGGCGAGTGTTCGGCTACAGGGTTGCTAATTCGAACCCTACCAGGGCAAGTTATTTTTCGTTACTCCCTCATAAGCCTACTAATTTCATATTAATAAATTGCTCTGTCGTTATAATTAACATCCACAAATATAAATTTTTACTATTGTTGACACATAGACCGTGTGTGGCGTGTACTTGTTAACGTGTTGTGTCAAGTGTAGTGTTAATCTTAACCATTATGACGTTCTAATCACTTTTTCATATATCGGTCTAGGGTCGTTGAACTTCGGACAGACATAAAAAAAATGTCGACATAACGTCAGAATAATTCGCGCAGTGTGTTCTTGAGAATAAGAAAAGGATGTAAAAACTTTGAAAATAAATGCCAATATTACATCTTTAATTAATGTTCTGCATTTTGTAAGCGTATCAGAATGATTAGACCTGTAATTGAAAAAGAAAAACAATACCTGTGATAATCACTGTCTTGCCAAACAGGCGAGATGTACTCCTGCAGTAACGAGTTGTTCCCCATAGCAATTTGATAACGAACATTACTATAAGTAAGTATATCCCAGAAAATATGAGAGGATAACCGATATAATACATGCGATCACTGACTTCTTCATTTCCAAAGAACAACATAGTTTTATTGTTCCTGACAGGTCTACAGTCGCCTAGATAATTAAACCGACCTATGTCCTACAGAGGCGCGTGCCCAGTTACAAAGGGCTAATTTGATTTGTGCTACACGGCGCGACGATTTACCCAACGACTACACAACGCCTCCCAACGCTTTTTGTTTTACAACTTTAAAACCCTCAAAACTGAATTTAAAGTACTCTCTACTCAAAGCAAACTGTGTTGGGGAAGGGGGTATTGTAAAAGGTATAAATAGAACCTTTAACCTAGGGAAATGTTCTACAAAGTCAATATGAAAACTAGTTTAGAGCGCATCCACAGGGATCCGGTTTAGGGAATTTGACTAAAGTATGACTTCGTTTGATAACCAAAACACTATGAATCCAATATCATACATACTCTGAAACCTTGTAAGAAATGTGGTATCATTACATCAAATGGTTTATACAAAAACAAAATGCTTGTAGCACCAAAGTGCCGACAAAAGCGTACCAAGCTGACCTGAAGTAAAGCGCATAAGTGACGAGGATGTTAAGGTGCGTTCGATGAAGCAATCTTTAACAGAATTATCGTTCCTGGACTATCATAAGTCACCAATAAATGCAATATGGTAGGGTATGCAACCATTTGGTGACGATTGTTAAAGAAATTATAGAAATATATATAACAATAAAGCGGAGAAAGACAGGTTGTCTCTAATGTACTGCGCTTGTAACACATGGATTCAAAAGATGAAGGCTAAACAAATCTGGGGAAGTTTTACGGTCGCCATATTTATTTCATTAAGAAATAATGTGCGATATAAAGCCGGACTTGTTTGAAGCTCATTAGTTCGCCTATTGATTCCGGCATATGCCTTGTTTTAATTTGAGAACATGGCATTACTTACTTGGGTTTACCAAGCTACGGCGACGCATAAGACGCTTATTCTTCCGGAACAGCTGGTCTTATTCTCCTTTTACATCTTTTTCAGGAGTCATCATGTTAATCTTTCTTATGTTCATATATTGTCATAGTTATGTTTAATATGAGTCTGGAATATGATTATGTTGACAAGATGTTTTCTATGGAACGCGACTTCGTGGTGTGTTTTTATAAATGCGGAAATGAAAATTGTGTGAAATATACAGCTGTCTTTTCTACCGAAAAAGCGAGAGTCTTTTGACCTCAGTCTTTCGAGTTTTGATTTTCAAAAAACAAACAAACACACAAAAATGGAAATCAAGGACACAACATGCAGACTCTCCTTCATTATTTTTTTCCCATTTCTGGATGGCAATAATCCAACATCCCGAATCTATGGTGTTTGGCATAGGACTTGCCACGAATTCCCCACCGACGGTCCATATATACATGTTTTATCTACTCCGAGAAGGGAAACTGAGCACGGTTTTAGAATTGTGTTTTAGTTAGTCGTATATCTTGGTGACACGATGAGTGTTTAACTTACGAGATAACCTGACGAATTCAGACATATTCCTGTCCAGCTGAAACGTTATTTCGTCCTTAATGGGTACTTCAATAACAATGCTGAAATCGGAAAATCTACGCTTATACAAAACTCATGTCCACGCATCATGTCCTTTGATGGTGTTATATCTCGTACATTATAGATTTTCCATATCAACAACAAAGGGGTCACTAGTCCAAATGATTCTGACGACTTTTACAGTGTGTCGATGAACGACCCAGCTTTTCCAGTTTCGGCCTGACACAAAAACCCAGTACAGGATTAAATCTCAAGACCGAAAAAACTTCCGAATCTCATTAGTATACCTGTCGGTGACATTTTTTTTAACTTGTTCTCATTTGGAAAGTACAGTCTTTTTAAGTCTTTTCATCACATGGCACAAACATGGCGCGATCAACAACTCGATGGAGAGCGGCAAAAACATCAGTTGCAATTAAATATATTTTTCTTTCGTTAGTTGATTCAGCAATACTGTTATTCCTGTAGACGAAGGCTTTGGAAGAGATGCTATTTTTTCCCAAGACGGTTCGACCACTCACGGCAAAATGGGTTGATTTTCAACGCTTATATATGTTTCCCTTCCCCAAATGAAATATTTTATCAAATTTGATCAAAAATAACTTCCTCGGGAAAGAAGGAGTTCAAGTCTTTGCCTCTCTGTCACCAGAATAGTCAGATCCATCATTTATACAAACTGATTCGCTTAAATGAGTAATGTCCTCCAGTATCGAAATCAAAACTTGCTAATGAAATTTTATGTGACAATGCTCACAACACTTTCTTCAATTATGACTGCACATTAGGTTCGACTGATAAGCAAGCCTGTCTCGGTCTTGTTGAAGCTTCTTGGTTTCTACCGTCGCCGAAACAGCGTCAGAATTTGCATTCAGTAACGTTATTTCTCAATTTACGAGGAGACGCATTACAAAATGCAGAACAAGTAGAATTTTTAAAACATGTATCTTGTGTTTTGGTTGTAGTTACTGACTTAGAAACACTGAAAAACAAAAACGCTTTGAATTGTTTTAAAGTTGCACATTTAAACGTTTTGTTCCTACTAACTGGGAAGATGCCTAAAGATTTCGTAAGAAAGTATAAACAGTACTTTATGTCATCGTGTCCAGATGGCTTCAATGCAGATTTCTTGCCAATCACCGAGTCTGGCAAAAGCTTAAGCTTATCGCAGTTTAAGGAAGACTTTCTTAGTACAATAAGGCCATTACTTAAATTGAAGTCCCCTCAAACTTTATCTAGCATGTGTAACCGAGTAAGAGACTTGGGAATATATGTCGATGAGGATGTACTTACATACAAAAGTGGAAAAGAGCAGGCGAAAATAATTTTTGATAAAATAAAATCCTGTAGACTTTCTGATATCAAAGTAAAATTCACACCGTCACAAAACGTGCCATGGGAAAAATATGCTAAAGCCATGAAAAAATTTCGCATGGCAGGAAGTGATATTAAAGACAAGGAAAAGTTGAAAGAGGAAATGGAAAAACAACGAAAAGAGCAATGGAAAGCTTACAAAACTGCAGAACCATTTATGAAGGACTTCATAGGAACTCTTTCGGAACTAGATGGTGACGCGTTGGTTTTCTTTTTGGATTCATTAAAATTTGATCTGGATGAAAAATCGAGAACAGAAATGCCCACCTATCGTAAACGTTATGCTAAGGCATGGGATGCATTACAGAAGAAATCAGATTCTGAAAAAGCAACGGCTCAAAAGGATGTTGAAAACGCCGAGCAAAATCTCAGTGATGCTTCTTTTGGTATCGAGCATGTATTTCGTGAATTAGGTCAAATTTACGAGGCAAGCAAGGTTGAAAAGGAAACAAAATTCGGAATAAGCTTAGCTAGGGCAGTAGCAAGATCCATTAAACATGGCTTCCCATTTGAGTTGATGGATGGTGATGTAGCAAATGTTCAATTAGAATGGGTTAACCAAGTATTTGACGAACTGAAACATGTGTTAAATGATGAAAAAGTACTAACTTTGTCAATTCTTGGACTTCAGAGTTCAGGGAAATCAACGCTACTTAACGCGATGTTTGGACTAACATTTTCGGTGAGTGCTGGTCGGTGTACTCGTGGTATTTATTTGCAGTTATTCCCCGTACAAAAAGGGTCTTTCAAATTTAACTACGTACTTGTAGTCGACACAGAAGGCCTGCGGGCACCCGAACTAGGCAATCAGAGATATCAACACGATAATGAGCTGGCAACCTTAGTTTTAGGGATGGCCGACATTTCAATTAGAAACATAAAGGGTGAAAATACCAGCGAAGTAAAGGACATTTTACAAATCTGTGTTCATGCATTTATTCGTTTAAAAATGGCAAATAAATGTCTTAAACTACGTCAGTCCTGCGTTTCTATACATCAAAATGTTTCGGCTGTGGGAGCTATGATGCATGCAAGAAAAAAGCTTGATGAAATTCTGAACAAAATAACACAGGAAGCCGCTGCGGAAGAAAACATCAGCTACATAAAGTCGTTCAAAGACGTGATTGAGTTTGATAGTAATAAACATGTGTGGTACTTCTCAGATTTGTGGAAAGGTGATCCGCCAATGGCTCCTGCCAATCCTGGATATAGCAGAGATGTCCAATATGCTAAATCCTTTATATTTGGAGAATTTACCCGGACCAAGAGTTCTTATTTGACGATTTCTGACACCTTTACGCATATAAAAGACCTTTGGAATGGCATATTAGCAAACGATTTTGTTTTCAGTTTTAGAAATAGTTTAGAAATCAAAGCATACAATGTACTTGAAAGGAGATACCAGGACTTCATCTGGAACCTTGAAAAATATACAAAAGAACTTGTGACTGGTGCTGACGTCGATATGAAGCAATACACTGCGTCATGCAAGACGGACAATTTACAATATTTTTCTGACATAGGAAAAAAACGAGAAAATCAATTAAATGCTAAATCCTCAGAACTGTTAAAAGATTTGGAGAATTTCATTGAGGAAAATGAGATGAAGGATGAGTTTGCAAAGTGGAAATCAAGCAAGTTATTATCTTGGAAAGTTTTTGTCGATGATTGCCAGTCCAAATTAAAACAACAGTTATTGGATATGCAGTCACATTGTAGAGTTGAGTATCAAATGAAAACCTCTCTTGAAAAGTCAAAGAAACTTCTTTATGATCAGGCAAAAGATCTGGCTGAAAAGATGAAAGGCAGCCAGCCTTCCATGAAAGATATGCAGGAAAGCTTCAATCAGCTTTGGGGTCAATAGATTATGGAAATTGATGTTCGGGAAGAACAAAATACTGATATCAAATTGTACTTGGAGTCTATTGTATAGTGTTTTCAAACAACATAGGGATGTCGTCGAATCTGTGTTAACGAAACGTCCTCTAGGCCAATGCTGTTCTATTGAACCTTTGGAAAATAGCCTTGATGATTTTGAATTCAGCAAAGATTGCTTTGATACTAAAAATGGTACAAGCTTGCTTCTAGCAATAAGAAAGATGTTATCGAATTCACAAACGTAATCCTAAGAGACATTGATACGAGATTAGACAATTTGAAAAGAAAGA